GTTTCGTTGGTATGGGAATACTCGCGAGACATGTGGAACTAGTAAGTGGCAGATGACAGAGGTCGAATGTGAAACGATTTCAGATAGGGTTGTAGTATTCGCTTGGGGTAAAGTGAACTTCGTGACTTATGTGTCACGATGAGCCGAGATGGTTATTGTGAGAAGGAAGTCGGTGAGATGTTTTTGGTATGCAATGAGTAACCTTTGGAGGTTCATCTATTGGGTCAGGAGCTGACCTAGTACTTAGTGAGTCAGTGTTGAAAAGGAAATTTGAGAGGAAGTTGAGGCTTATGTCTATAGATTTCAGAGGATACTTCCAAGCGAGCATGGTATTTTTCTTGTGTTTGAGGTCAGATTTTTGGGGTTCATTCTTTATGATGAGTTCTAATAGTTGTTCAAGAAGTGGGTCTTAGTGGGTTATGACCTTTCCATTCCTCTTGAGTTCGACCAAGATCGATTAGAGAACTAGAGTTGGTAGAGTGTTCTTAGAGTCTGTTAATCGATGAGCGATTAGCATGATATTTTGCGAGGGTGGTCTGGCACGGAGACATACCACTAGAGTTTTCAAGTCGGGAGAGTCAGATCGAGTACCATAGCGACAGATGGGTCTGTCCTTCTTCGGGGTCGGGAGTTCCTTTTGGGATCATGTGTCTTTTGAAGAGATTGTTGTATGATATGAGGTCCTTTCGGTGGTGCTTCTTGGGTTTTTAGGTTCGATCTATGTGTTGATAAAGAGAGATTTCGAGGACAAAATCTAATTCAAGTGGGGGAGAATTGTAACATCCTGTTTTGGATCGTATGACATAAGGGTTTGTGTGCTGCAACCCGTACATGAGGAAGTCTCGGGGATACGACGAGTTGCTAGAACCGTAGGGCATCTTGACACCTTTCCGTGAGTGTGAGGTTTATTGGAATCAGAGTTATATCGAGGAAGCTATGGAAGTTTGAAGTTTTGGTAGGATAAGTCCCTAATTTGAGAAAGGTGGCAGCTGAGTACGTTGGGCGTACGTGTGTGTACGCTTAGCATACTCATGTGCATGACTTTTACGCGGAGCCTCCTAGTACGTTGGGTGTACTAGGCTCATTATGAGAAACCCTATTTGAGGGGTGTCCCTATATAAATAATGAGATGGCCTCATTCTTGGCCACCATCCTCAGTCAATAAAGCCTATTAAAACCTAATCCTCGTTCTTGAGCTTGTGTGTGTCCATTTGAGAACCTTAACTGATTTTGTGTGTTCTTGGAGTAAAGAAGGAGTGAAATTCCAGGCCTTGGATCTGAGAATATCTGAGTTGGGAGCTTCATCATGAGGTATAAAGCTCCAAGCTTTCTCACTCTTTTGTTTTAAGCTTCAAATTAGAGTATTTTAGGCTAAGTCTCATTTTTGGGCCTTGAGTGTTGGTCCTAGAGTTTGGGCTTGTTGCAATAGAGTTTTGGACTAGAGGATTACATATATATGTGCTTTGGGCCCTTGAGTTGGGCTTGCCACTTAAATTTGAGAGTTGGGCCTCACAAGTCCATTTATTATTAGGCCTTAGTGGGCCCAATGGGTTTTAGGTTATGGATGGGATGGTTAGTGGATTACCATTAGACCTAATGAGTAAGAGTTTGGACTTAGTTTGTAATTGGGTAAATTGTGGTTTTGGCTCAGAGTTAGAGACCGGTGTGTAGCAGCAGTGTTTATAGGGGGTTGTTTATCATTCGAGGTAAGTCTTCTCACTATACTTACCATGAATGGTATCTTTTTGTAAATGAGATGTCTTATTGGTTTATAGAGTACTGAGATATCCTGCATTATGTTTATATGATTTATGTTGTGTATTATTCTGTGCTTACTGAGTTAAGACCGGAAGGTCCACCCGAGTTATGCCACCGGAGGGTCACATTAAGATACATTGACCGGAGGGTCTTACTGTGTTATAGCCTTAAGTGGCTAATGAGTTGTGTGTGATATTTTGGGGAACTCACTAAGCTTCGTGCTTACCGTGTTATGTGATATGTGTTTCAAGTTTTTTTCAGGATCGTAGGAAGGCACCAACTTGATTGTACACACCAGTGAAAGAATTATGTTTTGAGGATTGTGGATTTTAATCAAGCAATTATGGAGTTTCGAGTTGTAAACTAAATAAATAAGATTTTTGTGAAATGTGTTATGAGAATTGTGTGATTTTAAATGAAAATTTTGTTTGAAATTTACGGTGTTACGATAATCTATTTGATAAAGAAACATACCATATTCTCCACCACCAAGAAGATGGGCCAGTACTTATATATGGGCAAATATGCGACATAGGCATTCGTAGAATATATTGTGAGAGTGGGAGTTCGACTGAAATGATGTATGAATATTGCTTCTCATAATTACTGAAAAAAATAAGAAAAATGATGCAACAACCAGCAGGCCATCTAACAATCTTCGTGGGACATTTTTTTTGGCTGAAAGGGATATTGTATGTTCCATTAACTTTAATGGCCCAGACAACACAAGCCAAAAAATCACGGAGAATAGTCTTCACAATCGTACACACAACATCACCATACAACATCCTATTCGGAAGATGTGCAATAAGAAAGTTCAGGGGGAGCATATTGACGATCCATGACATCGTCCGATTTCGAACGAAAAGCGGATTTGGAATGATCTATAGTAAACCACCAATGGAACCCATTGCAATGGTGTAAAGAGGGGCGAGAATGAAGATGTTGGACATAGCGCAAGAAAATAACAAGTTAAAGGAAATCACAATCAATAGCCAATATGCATACCAAGGAGTGCGAACAGGAGTAGGGTTACCATGTGAAATAAAATATGGATTAATGAAACTTTTAAAGGAAAACATCGATATATTCGCATGGGAGGTTGCAGACTTGACAGGCATGCCCAGACAATTGGTCGAGCACAAACTAAATGAGAAAGTAGGAAGCATGATATGAGATTAAAAATAATTGAACTCAAAGACAGCTGCAATCACCTAAAAAACAAACATCCAAATAGGAGTAATGACTCTGAGTTGATCGATGCGGCCCTCCAACAATACCAAGATTCTCAACGTAACCAGAAACCTTTTTCGGGTATCTCAACACTCGGTCTAAATTGTATAATTCTTCAAAATCATTTTCTACACACACACACACACAGAGAGAGAGAGAGAGAGAGAGAGAGAGAGAGAGAGAGAGAGAGAGAGAGAGAGGTGCATCCAAATCCTAAAGATGAAAATGAAATTGATAATTTTTTTTATTTGAATGAATGTAATCTTTTTCCCTGGTATGTTATTTTCTTTTTTCCTAATATGTAAAATTATTTAAATTAATGTAATGTTTTTTGATTAAGTATAATGTTTTTATTTGTTTCATTTTATTATTTTATTTACTAAAAAAAATAACAAAAAAATTAAATTGATGACATGGAATGGTATGTATATCAAAATGAAAGTGTAAAGAGACCTTTCAAATGTGGTGTATGTCTATGGGTTCCATCTTATTTTGTATTAAACAATCCTCCAAAAATTTCATTTTTTTTTATTAAAATCTCCTTCTTGGCACCCACATATACAAAAAATACCCTCATGATTTTATTTTTTTTGTTGAAAAAACCTCAAAAATACTTTACATTTTCAGAAGTTTTCACTTTTATACATTTTTTATGTAAACTGGACCCCGGTTAAGTTTTGTTCTAGATCCGCACTAAGTGTTGGTATGGTGATAAGGTGAGAGTTTTATATGACCAGCATAGCCCATGGTCTAATATAAATAGATAGATTTTGAAACAAAATATGTTACTTAATAATGGGTCCACATAATTGCTTAGCTGCATGTTAGACTTCATGTATTGAAAGGGTAAGGGTTAGACTTCATGTATTGAAAGAATGAAAGGGTTAGAGTGATGTGTCAACTCTAAATAGTTTGAAATGCATTTGAAAGTCCCGCTGCCGTGGGTGCTCTAAAAAGATTAAGAAGGATTCAAACTCTGGTAAATATAGTGATGAGGCATGGAGTATAACCACTTAAACTACGGCACATCTGTTGGTTTCATTTACACTTATTATATATATTATTAACACACTAGGTAAACATATTAAAATGTCCCTATGTTTTGGTAGCCCTATTCGACCACAGAGTTTGAACTCCCTTTGCCTTGGCCCTACCCACATGGAATGAATCTGTATTTGCTTTTAGACCTGTTTTGATGAGTCAACAACGTACTGAAACGGGTACCCATATTTCTGCAATTGTAATACGAATAAAAGATTGTGGTTGAAGGTCAAACACTAGTGGGAAATTGCAGTTTTCTTCCTTCGTTTGGTTACTTTCATTGGATGGCCAAATTCGATCAGATTTACAGGTTTGTGCAAAAAGTTTGACATATTTGGTTTTTATGAATGCACCAAAATGACAGCCTTTTTTTTGGAAAAAGAAAAGATTATAATTATTATTAAAAAAAAAAAAAAAAAAAAAAAAAAGGTAGCTTTATGCTAGCAAAAGGAACATTACAAAATTACAATCCGGTTTTTAACCCATACAGTTCAACAGTAAATGGCCTTAACATTTCTATAATTAAACCATTTAAAGACAAACGATAACATTACGAAAATAATAGTGTTTCGATAAGACTCTTATAAGACCACAAAACCCAAACTGTTGTTATAAAAACCAAAAAACCCAAAATGACTACCTTTAAGGAGAGTCGTATGTGTGATCGTGATTGGATTAACATAACTTCTACGAAGCATATTTTGCGATGTGAATTATTTGGTTACTTGAATTTTCTAAGTGACAATATATAATCGGGATCTATGATCTGTTAATGTGCGGACAAATAGGATAATTCTTAGAAAAGCTTAATTAACACAATTTCTCCAACATTAATGAGGATTCGTGGGTGATGTTTGATAAACCCAATAACTTTTAATAGATATTTCTGTATATTTTTAGTGGGTCGTATTTAAACATGCAATCGATTGTACATGGATTAATCAAACTCAAACTAACTCACAAAATAACTGATCATTTCATACAACAAATTTACATTTTTTATGTTCTATGTAAAGAGGCTATACGTTATATGAATAATTTAAACTAATGAGCTCACAATGAGCCAAATCAAATGGATTTTCACTATAATCAATAGTTTCAAATATCTGGTCCATCTCAAAAATTGGTGAATACACCTCTTTTGAGATCACATCTCCATGTGCTAGCCTTGTCGACATTAAAGAATGTGCTGAGTGATCAGACACGATAAGGTTAGATGGTAGACTAAAATCAAATAACAATGGTTGGTTATCTGTCAATTCAGAAAATGACAAAGCCTCCTTTGACTTATCGTGCATATATGATGGAAAATGGGAGCCTACTTGCTCCTTGTCAACAAGCCCATTTGATTCGAAACTAAGAAGGATTGATGTATCCTCAAGGTTTATGGAATCATAAATCATTTGAGGGGTACTTAGGAAATTATTGCAAGTGTGGTGTCGGTTGTAAGTTATCTTATACTTTGTAGGCTCATGTTCGGTCTGCTGAACTTGTTTGGTTGCTTGACATCCTTGGTCAAATTTGTGTGTACACCTATAATAGTTTCTACATACACCAAGAAACATGTAGAAATGAGTTCTTGTAATAAATTTAATTGGCAAAAGATTGATCTTTTACGTATGTGTGGTCCTAGAAACATAAAAGAAATTTATCATCGATAGTTTTATTCTATATAGAATAAACGACTCACAGTTAAAATATAATAGTCAAATCTTCTTGTATTCAATTAACTTAATCAGTATAATAGTATTTTGTTAAGATCTATATATTTAACTTTATAACGGATTAGCTATGCATACACTTCGAAAAAAAAAGATACAACGTTATCTAAACCCCAGATGTAAAAGAAATTTATTATCAATAGTTTTGTCATATATACAAACACGCCTCCGTTGTAATATAATAAATAAAATCTTCTTGTTTTCAGTTAACTTAATCAGTATGATAGTATTTTGTTGAGAGGTGTATATTTAACTTTAAACGAATTAGCTATCTATGTTCTTCATAAAAAAAAAGATGCAATTTCGAAAACCCCAGTTATAAAAGAAATTTCTTACCAATAGTTTAGTTATATCAAGGTATACGTCCTAGTTGTAATTATATTAAATACAATCTTGTTGTTTTCAATTAGCTTTAACTTAATCAGTATGTATATAGTATTTTGTTGAGATGTATATATTTGATTTTAAACTAATTAGTTATGTATGTGTTTAAAAAAAATTAAATAAATAAATAAAAATGCAACGTTTTCTAAATCCCAATTGTAAAAGAAATTTATTATAAATAGTTTCATTATATATACGAATTCGGCGCCCCAATTGAAATATAATAATCAAATTTTGTTGTTCTCAGTTAACTTAATATGCATAATAATATTTTGTTGACATGTATGTATTTGACTTTAAACAAATTATGTATGTATTTTCCTTCAAAAAAGGATGCATTGTTTTCTTTACCCCAATTGTAAAAGAAAATTATTATCAATAGTTTTGTTATATGTGCAAATACATGCATCCTAGTTGTAATATAATAACTAAAATAACTTTGTTGTTATCGGTTAACTTAATCACAATAATATATAGTGTTTTATTGAGATGTAAATATTTGAATTTTAGTGAGTTATCTATATATGCTCTTCAAATATAGATGCGCAATGTCTTTTTCCGTTTTCTATTTAAAGTTTTCTACTTCAAAAAAAAAAAAAAAAAAAAAAAAAAAAAAAAAAAAAAAGCAAAAACCGAACCTTTTGTGTTTTGCATTGATGATCTCCTTTTGACCATATTTTCTCCATACATGTCCATCATCAATCAAAGAAGTTACTTTTGTGGATGTCCATGATCGCTTTCTACATATGGCCAAACAACAATGAATATATTAGTATTGATGATACATGTATGCTAACGACAAAAGTGGACGGTATGCTTGACAACTTGTCACTTCCATATACTCCAACTTGCAAAATATGAATTATTAAAATGTAAACATGAGAATAAAGAAAGCAAACGTATCATATTCAAAACCATTTTTAGACATCATGGTTAAACTTTAAACATACCTGATATAGCAGCCTCTACTATTTTTCACTGTTTTAACCATTTTGTCCTTGGCTATTGCTTTCCGATCATCCAAACAATTAGAAGAACGTATATTATTTATCGGGATCTTAGAGACCTTGTTGACGCTGTAACTACTCATGAATGAAAGGGTGTTGCCGAACATTTCCAAGGCTTGATCTTCTACACAATAGGAGCTTTCTGGCAACTGTATAAGCTCTTTAATGGCTTTGCTCCGACAACTTGGTGAACCCTCCGGCCAAGAGCAAGAATCCATACGATTTTTTGTATTCTGATGTTCTTGCGAGAAGTAGACCCTATAACAACACATCTTTCGATATTTATCTACGGGAAAATGGGGATTTTATAATATCTATGAAAAAAAAAAAACTATAAGATAAAGACATGAAAGGTGTAAAGTGTAAACAACTCTTGAAGCTTCTTAGAACGGGAATTTGACAATCACGCACCTCACTGATTGTCCTCCTATTGGTCAGTGAGAGGGCAGTACACGCGCTAAAGGGTGAGTCGTGTGAAGGAAAAGTATGACGTTTATACTATGACGTAGTAGTATGATGTCAAATATTGAATATATATATATATATATATATATATATATATATATATAGAGAGAGAGAGAGAGAGAGAGAGATAGAAAGAGAGAGAGCTAGGTTCATGTATTATTTAATGTGTGAATGTATAAATCAATATAGGTCAGTCATTTCAAAAGGATAAATATATAATCTTACATTTAATTAATTACGGTAAATATATAAATCAATTAATGTCCCTTTAATTTAGGAATATCAGTTTTAAAACCAAGTTTCTAATATATATATCGTCACGTCCGACTCTTTCTTCTTCTCTTCTATTCATGGTCGCCCCCAACCTTTTCTCTCTCATCTCCCTCTCGTACACACTCCTCTACCATCGACTCCGGCAGATTCAGGTAATCGACTTTTCTTAATAGAGATCGTGTTTCTCCTTTTTTTTTATGAAATCATTTTTAGTTCATTTGTACATGGCATTAGATCATCATGCTTCTGATTCAGATCATTAAATAAGCTTAAAAAGTCGGGGTTTTTTTTTATCTCGTTGCCCTTCAATTTTACCTGCCTTTTATCTGAATCACCTTTCCGATTCTGATTCTTCCAAATCACTTCCATTCTACCTCTTGAATTTCTCCCTGGATCGAAATACATGGTAAGATTTCTCGTATTTTCATGTTCTGATTTTGCAAGTATTTTCATCTTCTTTTTTTTTATTTTTTCGTGGAAATATTTCTCATGAACAGTAATTATGTGATTCTAACAAGTCATGGCGGTTCAAAAATCTTAAAAAACACAAAACTAATTCTATGAGAATATTGCACACCAGGTGTTTGTAGAAATGCCTGAAAGAGAACTTGATGTTTAAATTCTTGAAGAACACAAAAATAATTTATGAGTTCGTTATTTGTGTTACTTGATTTTAACATGAGTATGAGTTCTCTTAGAATTACTAAATTTTGTTTTATTTTTGTCGTATGAAAGTATTCTCACATAGTTTTATTCTTACATAATTCAATTTCATGACAGTTATTCTCATAGAATGAATGAAGTACATGATGATCAATGACCCGAAGGTTGGATGAATGTGTGTGGGATAGACATGAACAATCCTCAATGGTCACCGATCTTCCATAAAAATGCACTACCCATTGTCTTATTTTGTTAGATTAATTTATAATAGAATGATAAGAGTATATATGATAGTATATTCCAATAGAATAATCTACATATTATATTTCTTTGTTATTAGGGAGTGTTTCGTTATTATAGAATAAAATATAAAGTTTTTTATTTTTTCAAGGATGTAATAGAAAAAATTTAACTTGTATCTAAAAATTTGTTTATTCTGCGAGAAGTAAATCTCTTTATTAGTTTATGACTTGCATTTTCATAAAATATAATTATAAAAAGAATGTCATTCTGACAGAATAAAACTGAGTATGATTAAAAATTATGTTAGAATTATTTAAACTAAATTAATTAAAAAAAATCAAAATTCAAAAATTAAGATAATCAAAGATCCATTAAAATCTGAAAATTTGTTTTTTTAAATTTGGGTTTCCTAATTTTAAGGCAAAGTAAATGTACAATATTACCCTTCTTTTAATTAAATGGTATTATTCTATTTTTCTTTTATTTGATAATATAGGTAAATCATTTTCTTAAAATAAGTAAAATGATTGCCCCACAATCATTCATATATTCACACAATAATTAGTTATAATAAAATAATTGAAGTATATATATATATATATATATATATATATATATATATATACACACACACACACACACACATATATGTGTGTGTGTGTTCAAATGAGAACATTTTTTATTGAGTGAACATTTAAAACAAATTTGGACCATAAATTTCAAACAAATAAAAATATTGTATCCCATCTACCCCCAACACTACACGACTATTCCAACTAGTACACTTTCTTTTTTAAGGGAACATTGTTGAAACCACCAGATAACTGTCGTATTGTCGTCGATCACCATCGTATCATCGTCAGGAAGCTGGAAACATTGAAACCACTGAACAATTGCCTTTTCACTCTCTAGATCTAGTATCTCTACCTCTACTCCTCCCCGTCGGAAACAACCTCTCTCCCGTATCTCATCTCCCTAAACCAATTCAATCAGACTCTCTTTCTAGTGAAAAGCTTTCCCACTTGAGCTAGATTCTACCAGATCTAAGGCAGAAGGTTTTCCCGATCTCCTTTCACCGGATCTAAAGAAGGCAAAAAGATATAATTTCACAGGCGTTCGCCGGCACTGCCATCAAATCTGCCGACAACACTATTAGATTTAAGCTTTTACCAGAAATCAAAGAATCATCGTCGTTTCACTAGTCATCAAATCTGACTTTGCCGCCTATTTATTGGTCTTATCCTTTTTCTTCGCACCTATAATCATCGTTGTCAAGTTGTACTTCCGATTTAAAAGATCTTACTCATAGTTTTTGATCTATGTCATCGATCCAAGTGTACTTCTAATCCACCTGACCTTCTCGTAGTTCACCAGATCAAATCCTCGAATGATATTAGAGACGCAGTCGGAAAGTGACTGAAGGTACGATTTCATTGTTGTGGATCGGTGCCTAGTGATGAGCTTCTGAGTTGTGGAGGTGTCGAATGACGTCCTCCTCTCGATGTGAATCCAATTGGTAATGGTGTCGATGTCATCAAATGGAGATGTGAATGGAGAGTAGTGTTTAAGAGATCAAGAGTTAGATCAAGCTCAGTGGTGGCTTCTAAGGGAAATTCAGAAAAGTAGGCGGTTTCATTTTTCTTGGAGCTAAACTTGCAAAAATTTTGGCAAGTGATTTTTGTTTTTATTTTATATTCATAAAGAAAAATATATGTTCTTTGGTTTCTGGAACGATTAAAATATCTGATTATAGGTTGGCGTGTAAGGTGATATCAACACCAAGAGTAAAAGCAACAATTCTTTAACCTTTATTCTACGACTAAAAGCAAGACTAAAAAAAGATACATTTAAAAGTTTTCAAATAATTCTTAACAACTTAATTTTAAGAAATATAACTAATTAGAATTAATCTAATAATCAAATTTTTAAATAGCTCTAGATTTCAAAAATACCATAATTAACCACAATTTTTACAACTTTAAAAATCTAGATAGTCTATGAATTTTTTTAAACATGTAAAGTTGCGTAGTTTTGGGGTAGGCTAACTGCGATAACTAAAGTGAATTGAAAAAATATTGACTAGGTTGAAAAAATCTCATCGGTAAAAAATCTCATCATTTTATTATCCACATAAATCATATTATATGTGATAAAATACATATAATCGCATGCTATTATATTTATCTAAACATATATGATTTATACGTACAAGATTTATTTTCACATATTCAATTCAATAAATTTTCTCATATATTTAGTCACATTTGATTATATGTATCTAATCACATTTGATTTATATGGACAAAAACGAGTCTTATACATATAAATAATATGTGATTAGATACATATAATAATATGTGATTATATACACAATAACAACTATTGAATCAAGAACGCAATCTTTTGTACATAAATCATATGGGATTAAATACATATCATCACATATGGTTAAATACACGAGACCAATTACTGAATCAAAAACGTGAAAATAAACATTGTCCATATAAAATCATATGTGATTAAATATATATAATCATATGTGATTATGTGTATCCTATCGCTTATAGTTTATCTGGACAATATTCATTTTTGCATCCACGATTCAATAATTTTTCTTTGTCCACTTTAATCATATGAGGTTAGATACATTTAATCACTTGTGATTATATGTATCTAATTACATATGATTTTTTTTGGAAAAAATGAATTTTATCTATAGAAATCATGTATGATTAGATACATATAACCACATGTAATTATATACACGGGAACAACTATTAAACCAAGGATGTGAAAACAAATCTTGTCCATATAAATCATATGTGACTAACTACATATAATCACATGTAATTAAATACATAAAACAAATTATTGAATCGAAACCACAAAAATAAATATTGTCCAAATAAATCATATATGATTAAATAATTACATGTGATTATATGTATCTAATCGCATATGATTTATGTGGCTAAGATTCATTATTGCGTTCTCGATTCAATAAATGATCTTTGTCGACTTTAATCATATGTGATTAAATACATTTAATCACATGTGATTATATGTATCTAGTCACAAATGATTTATATGGACAAAAAATATTGTCTATATAAATCATAATTGATTACATACATATATTCATATATGGTTATACACACAAGAACAACTATTGAATCAAAAACACACAAAAAAAAATTGTCCACATTAATCATATGTGATTAAATACATATAATCATATATGATTATATAGATGAGAAAAATTATTGAATGCAAAACATAGAAATGAATGTTGTCTATATAAATCATATATTATTAAATACATCTAGTCACATGTTAACTATATACACAAGAACTATTTAATCAAGAATGTGAAAATGAATCTTTGTTTGCAATAATCATATACGATTAAATACTCACAATCACATTTGATTAAATATGTGAGAATAACTATTGAATAAAAATGCAAAAATTAATATTTTCCACATAAATCATATGTGATTGGATACATATAATCACATGTGATTATATGATTCTATTCACATATGATTTATGACGACAAGATTCATTTTCATGTTCTTGACTCACTAGTTGTTCTTTAGCAACTTTAATCATATGTGATTAA